CTACATGAAGGTAGAGACTGCCATCCCTGGGGGGCAGTAGGGAAGGGAGGATTTTGGAGAGGAGTAATTTTGAACTCCTCCCTGACCTTCATCTGTGACAGTAGTTCTGAACCCTGACAGCATATTAGAAACACTTGAACTTAAAAAAAAAATAAATCCCCAGCTCTCCTCCCTCACACACCATTTGTTAGTTTGGGCTATGTGGAACTCCTATTTTTTGTAAATTAAAAATGGGCAAATATCCACAAGAGGCCCTGGGGGGAGGGGGTTAAGATTTTTTTTAATTTATTGACTTTAGAGACAATGATTTGTTGTTCCACTTATTTGTGCATTCATTTGTTGATTCTTGTATATACTCTGAATGGAGATTGAACCTGCAACCTTGGTGTATCGGTACAACGCTCCAACCAGCTGAGCTAACCAGCCAGGGCATCAGAGATATATATTTTTTAATTTCCCGGTGACAATATGCTTTCAGGGTTGAGACACACTGCCCTGGGTTCCGCCATTGTCTGGTCTTAGATGAGCTACTTCATCCTCAAGTTGGATTATTTAATTTCCTTCAAGATATTGTATCTTTCTTTTTCTCACCCACTGCTATTGGTTCTCTAACATTAGAAATACTGTTATAGCAGGGAGAGAACATACTAAGCTAAGGAAAGCAAAGTAACTTAGTGAATGTAATGGGCCCCTCACATTCAACAGAATTAAGTCCAAATTCCTTAGCCAGGCTCGATTTTCATGTCCAGTCATTTCCTATATCTAATATACAATCCCTGCTCTAATAGAAAATAGCATACTCTTATGTGTCTCCTGTCCACTCATACTACACTTCTGGCCACCAAATGTATAGGTTTTCCCCCACATCAAGCAATTCTGCCACACCAGCTGGATGTCCTGCAATCTAACTCAATTCTGACACTATCTACCTGGAGATAGCATCAGATCCCACAGGTTGAGTTCAGTCTCACGCTTCAGATACCATTGTCAAGTCCAGGTTGTTATCTGTGCTTCTGACTGACAGACTCTAAGTTGGAGGTTCCCATCACCCCTCCTTGGTTTTGATTAATTTGCTAGAGTGGCTCACAGAACTCAGGAAAACAAGTTCCTTATTAGATTACTGGTTTATTATAGAAGAATGCAACTCAGGACTAGCCAAATGGAAGAGATCATAAGGCAGCAGGGTGTGCGGAAAGGGGGAGGACCTTCCATGCTTTCTCCAGGTGTGCCCTGCTCCCAGGGACACCATGCGTGCACCACCCAGAACTCGCAGAACCTTTGTTTAGGATTTCTGTGGAGGCTTCATTTCATGAGCTTGATTGATTAAATGATAGGCCTTTGGGGATTGATTCAGCCTCCAGTACTTCTCCTCAGAGTGCAGCTCAATGTTCCAACCTTCAGATTCAAAGCATCCTCCATCCTTAAGGTTATCCAGAAGTCAAGTCTTTAACATAAGCTTTGGTGTGGTTGAATAAGACTTGTTATGAATAACAAGACACCTTTATCTTTTCTCACTTAGGAAATTCCAAGGTTTTAGGAGCTCTGTGATGGGGATGGGATAAAGTCCAAATATATACTTATTATAAATAACAATATTGCATCTATGCTATAACCAAACTGGGCTGTTGCGCTTTAAGGCACAACTCAAGTCCTATCTCTCCTGAAGAATCTTTCTCCTCTACACAATGTTCTGTGCTATTTATTAGCCATTTCCCATATAAAAACCCTTCTTTTTTATCTTGTGTGCTGATCCCCTCAGTTCCTACTTAGCTATTAAGTCCTTTTGTATCCACAGCAACTAGTAGTCTGTCCCAACAAAAGCAAACTCTTAGCAAGTAATTGAGGGTGATAGGAAGAACTATTCTTGTAAGTTATGATTAGGAAGTCATTGCTTTCAAGGTATCAGTTTTTATTGTAGCATTCTGAGAGGCAATGTATTGCAATAAAAAGAGCATGGGCTTTCAGGATGTCATCCTAGCTGTAACACTTAGTTTTCTCTCTGAGGAGCTGTGTGACTAGACAGATTACATAACCTCTCTGAGCCTCATTATCCTCAAAGATGCTTACTTAATAGAGTTACTGAGTGATTAATTTAAACACTTTAAAAAAATTTTTATTGATTGCTAAGAGAAAGGGAGAGGGAGAGAGGGAGAGAAACATCAATGAGAGAGAAACATTAACATCTATTGGCTGCCTCCTGCATGCCCCCTTCTGGGGGTGGAGCCTGCAACAAAAGCGTGTGCCCTGACTTGGAATCAAACTGTGACCTCTTGGAGTTTGGGTCAATAATCACACAGCCGGGCCTGAATGATTAATTTAAATATAAAGGAGGGATAGTAGCATAATGAGAACATGAACTTTTAGTTCTCAGTTTGGCCACTTGTTGTGAGACCTTGACACAAATCATTAAACTTCTCTGAGCCCCAATTTTCTCTTCTATAGAATGTGGATAAACATGTCTCTTGGGTGTCTTGAGGACCTAGTAAGTAATAATTCATAGTAGCTAACATTATGAAGTGCTTATTGCACAGTTCTAAGAACTTTATATATGATTTATAAGCCTTAACACATGTGTTGCCCTAGCTGGTTTGGTTCAGTGGATTGAGCGTTGGCCTGCAGACTGCAGAGTCCCTGGTTTGATTCCAGTCAAGGGCACCTGCCTGGGTTGTGGGCTCCATCCCCAGTAGTGGGGCGTGCAGGAGGAAGCCAATCAATGATTCTCTCTCATCATCAATGTTTCTCTCTCCCTCTTCCTTCCTCTCTGAAATCAATAAAAATATATATTTTTAAAAAACACATGTGTTATGTTAATAGCTTCAGTTATGTTACTAACTTCAGGTAAGTAGAGGAAATGAATCTCTAACATGTTGCTTAATGATAGTTAATTGTTTTGGTGTTCCTTAGGCTGACATTTTGGATGTCAATCAGATATTTAAAGATTTGGCTATGATGATCCATGACCAGGGTGATCTGATTGGTATGTATTATTAATACCTTCTGGGGCCCTGCCTATTCTCTCTTAGATAATGCAGAAGTAGCCATCTGGAAATTAATCCTAAATTCCAACAGATATACACAAATGTGAGCAGTGTTTTGTCAGAGTTGGTTCATGGCTATTAACAGGTTAACTATTCTGTCTCTTTTTTTATACTCCATGGCTGCTATGATTTTAATTTAGAGTAGATTAGAAATATTTTTCTTGTTATAGATGTACATAATTTTTTCTCTGCCATTTATGGGTGAGTTGTATACTTTATAACCTTTTCCTGTAAATATTTCAGTGTTTATTTCCAAAGAATAGGGCTATTCTCTTATGGAGTAACTTAAAAAAAAAAAATATGATTTTAGAGAGAGAAAAAGGGAGGAGGAGGAAAGAGAAAGGGAGCGAGACACACATTGACCAGTTGCCTCCCATATGCAACCTGGGCATGTGCCCTGACCAGAATCGAGCCGGTGACCTTTTGGTGGTGCATGGGATGGTGCTCAACCAACTGAGCAACACTGGCCACGGCTGGAGTTAGTAACTTTGTTTTCATGGCTGGATAGTTAGAATGGTGGTGGTGAAACCGGGATCCCCATAACATCAGCAGTTTGTTCATTTTGCTGTATTCAACATCTGGATTTGATAAAATTTCCACTGTCCTTCTTTTTTGCAGATAGCATAGAAGCCAATGTGGAAAGCTCAGAGGTGCATGTGGAAAGAGCCACTGATCAGTTACAGCGAGCGGCTTACTATCAGGTAAGGGAGGTACCAGAGAAAGTCACTCTGTGCTACAGCTTTATGGGCCATTAGAATACACCAGTGATTTTCAACCTTTTTATCTCATGGCACACATAAACTAATCTCTAAAATTCTGCGGCCAACCAAAAAATATTAAATAGGTATAATTTAGGTTGTTTGATGTGTTATTTTTTATTTTAAAAAAAATAGGTATAATTTTGATTCATACCAGACCGCTATTGATGTGTTGACTTGTAATTATTTAATTTGACAACCTAAGGGAAAAGAGGTCAGGTATTGCGTGTTTTAGAAATTCTTGCGGAACACCGGTTGAAAATCGCTGGAATACGTTGCAGCCTTTTTTTAGGCTTTAGTTGGAGATAGTCATAATTGCAGTGCCAGTTCCGTTTTTAGTATTTTCCTTTGCAGAGAGACCGACAAAAAGGCATCAAACCTTGAATAAACTTATATAACAGCTTCTTAGCTACTGAGCTAACCCCATATGCTAACATGATACTTTAATCTGGTTTAAGGTTAATTTTATATCCAAAACAGTTGAAATACAGGGTTTCAGTTAGGGTAACATTGGTACAAAGAAGAACTTTGCAGATACTTTCTGTTGACTTTGCCACAGATGATGGACATAAAATCAACTCTGACTTCTGTTTATCTATGAACGAATAGAGGTTTATCATTTGGGGGTTATTTATCTATGAATAAATAGGAGTTAATTGTTCTACTTTCTGGAAAGTGATATTCTCTCACATATTAGTTGAAATTGGTTTTATTACGTGTCTGAGTCTTTATCTGTGTACAAATATTGTGAAGGAGGTCCTTCTCATTTCTCAATTGGGTGTTGCATGACTTTTTAGAAACAAATAGCATTTCAGTAATTTTCTATGTTCCTAGGATAGCTGTATTTTATCTGGGAATGTTCTTAAAGAAATTTGTTTAATAATAATGTTTCCTTTAAAAAACTGAGTGATAGCCGAAACCGATTTGGCTCAGTGGTAGAGCTTCGGTCTGCGGACTGAAAGGTCCCAGGTTCGATTCCGGTCAAGGGCATGTACCTTGGTTGCGGGCACATCCCTGGTAGGGGGTGTGCAAGAGGCAGCTGGTCGATGTTTCTCATCAACATTTCTAGCTCTCTATCTCTCTCCCTTCCTCTCTGTAAAAAATCAGTAAAATATATTAAAAAATAAATAAATAAATAAAAATAAAAAACTGAGTGATGACTTTAGTATCTAACAGCAAATGAATAATTAAGTAAATTATCTATGTCAACTCAATGTCATGTGGAAATTGGAGATGTTTATGAAGAGTTTATAATAACAAAAATTTTATGCTAAAATGTTACGTGAGAAAAACATCAAACATATAGTATGATCACAATTATATCAGAAAACATTTTGCATAGATAAATGAGGAACTATAATAAAAATGTCAATAGTTTTAGCTGTGGGTGATTATTTTGTTTTCTTTCTGCTTGTCTATATTTTTTACATTGAACATAAATTTTTTTTTATTTTTATTTTATTGATTTTGTACAGAGAGGAAAGGAGAGAGATAGAGAGTTAGAAACATCAATGAGAGAGAGTCATCGATCAGCTGCCTCTTGCACACCCCCTACTGGAGATATGCCTACAACCAAGGTACATGCCCTTGGCCGGAATGGAACCCGGGTCTCTTCAGTCCCCAAGCCGACGCTCTGTCCATTGAGCCAAACCGGTCTCGGCTGAACATAAAATTTTATAATGGGTATAAAACCTTTATATAATGGGTATAAATAACTTTATTGCAAATAATGCCTAGCAGTGTTGGTATAAAAAGTTATTTTGCTAAATTGTACCTGGGAAACTAGAGTTAAAACTTGCACTAATGCCTAGCTCTGGTAGCTGTTAAGATTTTGGGCAGGTCTGTGCATATTCATTCATGGATAGAGTTGATTTTGAATTACCAGGAGGCAGATTTATGAAGCACTTTTAGAATAACAAATTTCACTTGTTTCATGAGTGTCTTCTTAACATATCTCTCTTCTCAGAGAAAATCTCGCAAGAAGATCTGTATCCTGGTGCTTGTCCTGACAGTGATTGCTGCTATCTTCGGACTTATTATGTGGCTAGTTTATGGAAAGTGATTGCCTCAGAGCTTTCTCCCACGGAACTGTTTTCAAGGGCAAATGCTTGCTGGAGTCTGCCAGAACAAACAGATCTCAGAAGAGCATACATCAGAATGTCCTGTCATAATTTAGTTAGAAACTAACTACTAACCAGTCCTTGGAATCAGTGACCTATGGAGACAGCATTTATCAATTTATGTATACATTTTATTGATTTCTCAAATTAGGAACTAATTTATGTAGATTTTGCTTTCTCTTCTATTCTTATTTACCCTTCATCCCATGTATTTACTGAAATTCCATTCTAGATATTCTTGTTTTAACAGGGACACTACAGTCTTGTAAATTTCTTTTTATGTGTATACAAGATTTACCTTTTTACTAGCAACTGACATAGAATTACTTTTTCGCACCCAGCATATTGGAATCTGTCAGAAACTGTATAATAAGCTGGCAATTTTTATTATTTAACATTTTAATTTGTAAGAAGCCTATTCTCTGTCTGCTTTGAAGATTTTGGCAATGTATTTAACTAGAAGGTAAAAGTTGCACATGTGATCCATGAGAAGTATGGATTTGAGCTGGCCAGTTGTGGGTTTAACGTTTACTTTATTATCTGTTAGTGTCATCAACAGTAGTTCATCCATACACACACTAAACCATCATGTTCAGTTTTTGAAGAGATTAATTTAATTGACATTACTATACTCCAAGGAGTTTCTTTCCCACCTGCTTATATAGAAAGGGATTATTAGACCAAGCATGCTTTTGGAAAGCAAATAGGACTTGTTTGGAATGATTTGATCATTTTGTTGTTGTTCAGTTGTGATTCTGCATTCCTGGTGAATGATGATGTTGCTGTCAAAACACTGGCCTGCCCTTATAAGGGCCGCTGGGCATTTGATGGCAGGAAGATTTGAAAGGCTAGACTGAAAGTTGGTTTAAAATTTAGTCCTGTGAACCTAGTGATAAAGCAAAGAAAAGGTTCATTTTTGTAAATAATACTGGTTTGGAATAGTGATGTTAGACTTATTTTAATTTATGAACAAGAAATTAATCTCTCTATGCATAGTTTTAGACGAAAAATGTTTCAATAAAAGATTGTTGTCTTGTAATATAAATATTGTTCACTTCCCTTTTTAACAGGTTTAGAATAGTTAAAAGGAATGTAATTTATTTAGGCTCCCACATAATTTATATTAATTGGACCAACTATTTCAGTTCATCTTTTAGTGAATTAGAGGATTTGACCACGCTGGATATATTTATATTATTTTCTTCCAATCCCTTTAATGTTACTTTATCTTCTTTTACCAAGCTAATGTGAATGGTAGGGAAACAAGAGCCCAAATGCATTCTTGCACTATTCTACCCTCTTAATACAAATAAACATTTAAAAAACTTTTGTAGTAAGTTTTTATGAGTTACACATCCTAATGTAGTAGATTTTAGGTAATGTGCCGTTCTTTAGAAAAATTGAGACCTGCAAGAAGAGTGGGAATCAGAGGAGGATTGGTTTGGGGTGGAATTGGTGTTGCTGCAATCCTTTCCTTGGAAAGCAGGATAGAGCTATTGGGATGTCACAGTGTCCCAAACAGCAGCTTCAGAGCGAATTTCTTGGTTCTATGATCACTGCCCCTTAAGCTCCAAATTACAGCTGGACTTGGATACATCATTTGTAACATTCAAGAAAAAGTCTTGATCTTGAAAAACTTTCACTCTGGTAAAATGAAGCTGCCATAGTTCTGTTCTGTAATACTATATAATCCAGGGGTGGTGGTAATAGTGGCCATAGTTAGCAAATAGAATTGGAATGGCCTAGGATTCTTGGCCTAGAATTTGCATGGCCTGAAATTTGTAGCACTTACCAAGAGGTTCTGCTAGATGGTCCTAAAAGCCTATTTACTCACAGACGCCTTACTTATGTTTTATTCATCATTAAGGGCACCAGTCCCAGGTTCGATTCCAATCAAAGGCATGTGCCTTGGTCGCGGGCACATCCCCAGTAGGGGGTGTGCAAGAGGCAGCTGGTCGATGATTCTCATCAATGTTTCTCTCTCTCTATCCTTCTCTCCTCCTCTCTGTAAAAAGTAAATAAAATACATATATTAAAAAATCAGAATTCTAAAGCAGCATTCTTTTTAAAAAATTGAAAAGGTGATATTAGATGACAGTCTTCATTTTATTTTTTTTTTTTTTTTTTTTTTTTTTTTTTTTGATATTTTAGATTTTTTATTTAAACAATCACTTAAAATATTGCCCTGTGGGCATGGATGTTTTAGGTAGGATTTCTCTAAATATGGTCTCTGGACTTTTGGTATAAGAATTACAAAAGAAATATCCGAATGGCCAATGAGTTCATGAAAAAAGCTCAATATTCTCAGTCATCAGGAAAATGCAAATGAAAACCACATTGAGATTCCACTACACACCCACCAGAATCACCAAGTGTTGACAAGGATGTGGAGCAACTGAACCCTTGTGTTCTGGTGGACTGTAAAATGGCACAGCTGCTTTGGAAAACAGTTTGGCAGTTTATTATAAATTAAACATCTCCTTCCCATACAACACCAGGTAATCTTACCATAGGTACTGAAGAGAAATGAAAATGTATGTCCACACAAAGGCTTGTATTCCAATGTACATAGCTGTATTCATAACAGCCTCAAACCAGAGGTAACTGATATCACCAAGTAGAGAGGAGATGAATAAATTCTGATACCTTCCTTCAAAACAAAGACCTACTGATAAGTGCAGCAACATGTATAAGTCTTGAAAACCTTATACTCAGCTGAAACAGCAGATACCAAGCAATATGTACTGTACGATTCTTTACATGAAATCCTGGAACAAGCTGTAGAGACCAAAGGTAGATTTGCTTGGGTCTAAAGATTCAGGAGGGAGGCTTGTTGACCACAAAGGGACATGAGAGAACTTTACCTAGAGTATTGGTGCTATTCCATATCTTGACTGGCAATGGTTATGCAACAGGTACTGAGGGGAATGCATTTCCTTTGGTGCAAATTAGACCACAAAGTTTACTTTAAAAATATACATATATACTTTTTTTTTTTTTTTCTGGTAGCAAGGTACAGGCTCTTTTAGACAGCATTTCTCAAAATGTGGCCCCTCTGCCTGAGAATCACCAAGAAAGCTGGTAGAAATCTCCCGTGAGGGCCCTGACCCACTGAATCAAAAACTCAGTGCTTGGGGGTGGTAAGTTCCATGTGCTTGACACAGGTGGCTGTTCCACAGACTAGCTGTCCAGAGCTGCTCCTCAGGGCTGCTGTCCCTGACAGTCTTCATTTTAAAATCTACTTATTTGGCAAAATAAAAGTAGACATGTTTATAACTTTTTTTCCTGGTCCACCATGACATGATGTTTGAACAACTCATTTAGGCTAGTCCCATCACTAGACAACTGAAGAAATTGAGGCTAGGAATGGCAGTCTACTACAAGAATTAAAAGGCTTAAAGAAGTGCTAATGTGAATGGTCATTTGTAGGGCAATTTTTGAACTCTTGCTTCCAGCAATTTAAAATGCTAAACGTTAAATGTTTTACATTTTATATTTAATATCTCATAGCCACAAAATCAACTAAGAGCTATGTTTTCTTTTTTATATATTTTATTTATTTTAATATATTTTATTGATTTTGTACAGCGAGGAACGGAGAGAGATAGAGAGTTAGAAACATCGATGAGAGAGTCATCGATCAGCTGCCTCTTGCACACCCCCTACTGGGGATATGCCCACAACCAAGGTACATGCCCTTGACTGGAATCGAACTCGGGACCTTTCAGTCCCCAAGCCGACGCTCTATCCATTGAGCCAAACCGGTTTCGGCAAAAGCTATGTTTTCTTGTCCTCTTTGTATGGATTAGGAAAAGGAGGCACAGTAAGTAACCTGTGCATGGTCACACCGTTTAGGAGTGATGAAGCCAGGATTTGATCTCAGACTTCAATATCACATCGTCAGATTCTAGACATTGTCTCCAGGCATCACTGATACAAACTGTCCTACTCGTCACCTCTTTCATGAAGCTTTCTCTTAAAACCTAGAATAGTGGCAGTTTTTACCCAGTTTTTCATGTCTTTTCTTTTATCAGTACCTTGTGGACTTTTCATTAACCACCCTGATAAATGAAGCCTCCTGATTATACTATTTACACGCTTTTGTGTGTTTTTTGTTTGTTTTTTTCCTACACGCTTTGTTTTTAAGACAGTTTTCTAACATCAATATGCTAATGTCTTTAGATTCTAGTCTAAGGAAGTCTCAGTGTCTAATAAATTTATCTTTGTTGAGATATTAAAATCCAAAAGCAACTAGTCTATCAGTCTTCCCATTTAAAAAAGTTAAGGGTCTAGACTGCTGCCTCCCAGTTCACTGATCTATACTGACATCATTGGTGTCCAAAGACCGTTGCTTTGTAAGGCCTAGGTAAGTATAAGGTGCCATTACATCACATGCTAGTGAAAAGCAGGGAAGGTGACCAAGGAGAAAAGACTTCTAAGGGTAAGAATATAGCTTTAGCTTTCTTGTGTGTATAGTCAGCAATAGAAGGGGTTAAATAATGGGCCACACACAAAAGCTGAGAAATTGAAAGGCAAAGTTGACATAGATGCTATTAGGTCACTCAAAGCTAGACATGGTTTCTACAGCACCTCATGCCTGAAAGGGGCATGGAACCTCAAAGGCCTGCACAATGTGTAGATAAAAATGAACAGTGTTGTTTTCTGTTACACTAAAAACATTTTTGAGACTAATTCCTTCTTAGGAATCGTATCCTTGTGCTCAAAAGAAGAGTCAGCCAGGCTGGCATGGCCCAGTGGTTGAGTGTCGGCCTATGAACCTGGAGGTCACGGGTCTATGTCTAGTCAGGGTATATCCCAGTTGTGGGCTCAATTCCCAGTGTGGGGCATGCAGGAGGCAGCCAATGATTCTCATTCTTGATGTTTCTATTTCTCTCCCTCTCTCTTTGAAATCAACAACAACAAAAAAAGTTTTGTTTTTTTTAAAAAGGAGTTAGCCTCTTTTCTTGAAACCAAGTTTATAATTTGTATTTCCCTCATCAGCCTAGTCTTTGGAATCAAGACAGGAAAGGAGGCTATGCACAGGTCAGCAGATAAGTCTTCTGATCAATTAACATTCTTGTTGGATAAATTTATTGTGCTTTTGAAAGCCAGAGGAAAGTGATTATCTACCTGCCTAAGAGTTGATAATTTCAAAATCCAAGTTAATATTATGTTGCAATTAAAACTTGATTCCTGGAGATGTCATTAAGGACAAAATCTTTTGAACAGGCTGATGTTCAATTTAAAATCTAGAGGACCAGTAGCAAGGAAATCAAGAAAAGAAATAATGTGCAGTGCCTCTTTCTGGTTGAACAATTTTCAATTAGTTCCTTTAAAAAGAAAAAAACAACAGGTCAGATAACCAAAACTTTCTACAGAAGTGAAAAAGTGTTGGGCATCATTTGCATGTTAATGGATCCACATCTAATTGTGAGACTGGTGGTGACAGAGCGTGGCCTTTGGCATCATACAGATTTAGGTTTGAATCCCACTCGCCCCTCTTTCTAGGGTGAAGCTGGGCAACTCAATCTGTTTGAGCGTTCAGGGACCATACCTTCCTCAAGAGTGTTGTGAGGATTCAATGAGATGACCCATTTAATATATATTTGCCCAGAGAAGTAAGCACCCAACAAACATAGCGATCACAACTGGAGGACCTGCTGATGGTCTCTCTGTTGGTCTAGGGCAGGCCTGGAATCCTAATGCTTCCTTTCACGATTTAGTCACCATAACCACAATTCCGAAGGGGCCACAACGATTTGGATGTCTGCCTCTGATTGGATCCTTCTTGGCCCAGCACGTCCGGACTTTAGACATGATTCCCAGATAATGTACACAAGTCCACAGGGTTCAGATTCGGATTAGGAAGAGGAAGTGAGAATGCAATTGCAGAAGAGGGTCGTGAGAGAAACAGAATGAGTGATTACTGTGACTTCTAAGCTCTGCGCTCTAACTCCTCTCTCCATTGGGGGTGTAGCCAGGATGGAGTCACAGGTTTGAGAGTCCGGCAGAGCGTTTGCAGGAGGACGGACGGAAGGCCGATACCCCGCTTACAAGCACCTTTTCTTCAGACACCTGCCAGCGGGGAAAAGGCTAGTATTCGGAGAAGCTGACAAACACCTCAAAACTACGTCTGTTTCCACCGCCACTAAAATCCCCCGTGCGTGCGTGCGTACGTGCGTGCGCGTGCTCGTGTGTGCGCGCGCGCACGCACAGGGTACTGGGACGCCGTTTCTCCCCGCGGAGTCTTCCAGTTTCCCGGCGTGCCTCGGGCCCGCCAAATGGGCGGGGGAGACGCAAGATGGCGGCAGCCACGAATTCCGGCTCCAGCCTCCCACTGTTCGACTGCCCTACTTGGTGAGTGGCGAGGAGACCGGGGCTGGAGTGGTCTGGGCCGGCCTGGGCTGGCCGGGCGGCTCGTTTCCCCCAGCGAGCCGGACGGTGTAGACGGGGCTGACTGAGGGAGAACAGTTCGTCGGGCCGGGCAGCGTGTGGAGGAACCGGGAGCCCAGGCCCAGGCACTGAGGCACCCAGAGTTGGGGGCTCTGAGGCGCTCGCTTACGCGGCCCCTCCGGCCGCCAGCCGGGTTGCCTGGGCGTTTCGGGGCCGTGGCCCTGAACTTGCCTCAACTCCTGACTGGATCGGGTGCGCTGTGGAGCGCCGGACTGCCTGCCCCTGCTCTCTGTCCCGAACGCGCACGAGCTGGCTTCCCGGACCCAGCCCGACCTCAGAGCCCGCGTCCCCTGTGGTGCCGCACCCCCGGCCCAGCACTCTCCCCCCCGGACAGGGAGCTCCCGGAGGGCAGGGACGGCGCCGGCCAACCCCTGCATTCTCAGCGACCGGCGCTGGGGTGGTTGCAAGGAACCCCTTTTATCCTTTCTCAAGTTCGTGGGAATATTCTTGGAATAATTTAGCCTTTGAGTAGAGAGCAAGATGAATAGTTATAAATTGCCTTGAGTTAGAGCTACCTCAGCAGTAACTCACAGGTGCATTACTAATGTTATTCTTCTCTGCCTCCCGCTATGTGGAGGTCCGCAAGGGCAAGGAGTCTGATGCATCCTTTATATTGCCAGCTCCCAGGCCTTAGCCGGGCACATAGTAGGGGTAACATTGCTTTTCCTGTTTCCCAGACAAAAAAAAAAAAAGGCTTTTTCCGATGCACTGTTTTCAGCAACCTGCCGTAGAGTTGGGACAGGATTGTGAGATGACTGTGTTGCTGCTCTTCAAAGTAGACGGACAAGTACATTATTTTCATGCAAATATGCAGACGGACTCTGGCAAGATTGTTCTTTTTTTTTTTTTCAAGCTTCAAGGAGCAAACACAGGAAGCAAGTGAATGTGTGCCCGTTTTCTGAGTTCCTTCGCATTTTGTAACACCCAGTTGCTTCAGTCTACAAATTTTATGTCCCTTTTGGTTTCCTGCTCAGGGATTCCAGATGTTGAGTCAGGATAGTAAACTTATAGTTAGAAGAGACATATCACCTACCTTCAGTCCTGTATGCACCAACTACTGTGTTAGGTGCTTTGGTATGTATCCCTCTTGAATGCTGTGGTTATAGAAATATAGAGAAAAGTGCCCCAAACAAGCCATTATAGGTGGAAAGACCTGTTCAAGAGTAAGAAACATCTCTTGTATTTATTGGTACCTGGTTTCATAGGCATGATATTGGATTGCCCTAACTCCCTAATTGTGTACCTCTGATTTGGTCTCAGAGTTCAGAGCTCTGTTTATTTTGTGATGAGGCTAATCTTGGATCAGCACAAAACACCAACAATGTACTCAACCTTTATATATTATTTGCAGTAGTCACAAAGCTTAGATTCAAACTCAAAGAATCAGGCTACTCCAGCTATAGTACTTGCACTCTCTATGCTGCTTTCTTTCCGAGGTAGATGTTCAGTGTTAACATATAGGTTTCTTTGGTGCTGCTCCAAATACAAATCCATTAAAACCTGTTTTAGAGCAGTTGAATCACTGGGGAAGCAAGTGTCAAACTTAGAAAGGAGCTGTAATAACAGCGAAGTAGATGACATTTCTGCTTGAACATGAGCTAATTATAGGCCGGTAGGAGAGCTGCCGTGTTGAATGGGACAATAATTGTAAATGGTGCTATGAACTCATTCTGAAAATGCTTTTTCCTTCTTATTTTTTAGGGCAGGTAAACCCCCACCTGGATTACATCTGGATGTAGTCAAAGGAGACAAACTAATTGAGGTACAGAAATACATGTCTTTCCGTTTTCCCCCATCACATTAAGGAGTTTTGCCAGTGACTCACTTTTCCACCCCTTCTGCTGTGCTTTGTTTTCCGGTGCTACTTTCGTTCATCCTGATTTTTTTCTATTAAAAGCACATGGTGATATAACACATTCAAACCTCTTATCTCTCATAGCACTCAGGTTTGTTTTGTGTGTGTGTGTGTGTGTGTGTGTGTGTGTGTGTTTTGTGTTTTTGTTTTTGTTTTACTTCTCTCACCTTCCAAATGAAGGATTTTAATAGATCATAGGCCTATGGGCTCTAATCAAACTGGAAGCACTTTAATATGGAAAATTCCCTCTCTCTGAGTACATGGAGTTGTGTGGAAGGTGCAAGATATGTGATCTATAATAATAAAAGCGTAATATGCTAATTTGACCAGTCGAACAATGTTCCAGATGAAGCTGCCACAGCCGTAGGCCAAGGCAGGGGCAGTTAGGGATGATCAGGCAGGTAGGTGAGTGGTTAGGGGCAATCAGGCAGGTAGGCAGGCAGGCAAGCAGTTAGGAGCCAGCGGTCCCAGATTGTGAGAGGGTGCGGGCCAGGTTGAGGGCCTTCCCCACCACCCCCTCCCATGCAGGAATTTCATGCACTGGGCCTTTAGTAATTGAAGAAGAAAGTGAGTGGCATAGATTAAGTTTAGCTTTTAAGTTGCTTTTATGATATTCAGGCCTGAGCCCTTCAAGGAAGAGAACGGAATGGTGATGAAATTCATTCATTTACTCAAAACATTGAGTGCTTACTATGTTCTAGTCATGTGCTCTGCATAGGGACTACAGCAGTGGACAAAACAGGCGTGGTTCTGATCCTCAAAGAAATCTGGTGGGAAAGGCACTACATAAAAAATTACCTGAAATAAGTTCTATAAACGAAAAGTTTAGTAGAATTCCAGATTTTCTACAAGTGTCTAGAATGAACACCACATAGAACTTGAAGATAACAAATTTTGATTACTAGGTATTAAGTTGTGTGAGATTTTATTTTATTTTTAACTTATGGCACCATTTATTTACTAAGAAATGGAGATTAAATCCACTATGACTATGGAGCTGTGAGTCTCCAGGTCTTAGACCAATTTTAGGTTTGCTTGCTCATATAGAATTTAAATTCAGGGTCCCACAAGTGCAGTTGTTTTTGTTTGGTGTGAATAGTAAAAACATCATTCCATGGTTGAAAAGCTGTCTGTGAACATCTCCTGAATGATGTTCTGTAAATATATTACTGTCACTTCAGGATGTTGTAGAGATACCCCAGTATTTTTCAAAGTATTAAAGCAGGAGTTGTGATGAATTTTTAAATTAACTCATCTTGCCCATACCCAATCAGTTTAGAGCCCCTTTGTCAGCGGTTCTTCTGACTTTTTATTTTTTACTAGAGACCCAGTGCACAAAATTTGTGCATGAGTTGAGTTCCTAGTGGTTGCTGTCCAGGGCCTCCTTTCATTCCGTGCCACCCCCTGGTGGTCAGCACACATCATAGTGAGCCAGTCGGTCGAACTCCCGAGGGGACACTTTGTATATTGGGCTTTTATATGGAGAGATTTTATTTACTTGTTTTTAATTGATTTTATGGGGTGACATTGATTAATAAAATTATATAGGTTTCAGGTGTACAATTACATAATACATCATCAGTGTAGAGTTCTATTTTAAAAGTTAAAACACTTCAAGATTATTCAATGAAATAATTTTGCTAAATTGTCTGTAAAACCTATTTTATAGACTGTTTCACAGATATAAAATATTGTCACAAAAAAGCATGAAGCTTTGAAGACATAGAAATCTGTTTTGTTATCAGAATTTAATAAATCTTCAGTTTGCAACAAGAAGAAACAGGAGGCCAGGCCTTAATGATTTATATCATATTCCTTTATGTTTTTAAAGTGCTGTTAGTTGTCAGACATTCCTCTGATACTGATTTCTATTAACTGATAATGTTCTCTGTCTTTCATTGCTCTTAGGTGTGCTGAGTTGCCATACAATTGTCAAGTTGCAGTCTTTAGACATCACTGTGCTGTTTCTGAGAGGAACAGATTTATGTGCTTATTGTTAAAGTTTTAGGCAGCACTTGATACTAGCCGAGCTATCTATGTCCTAGCCTTGTGACAGAGGCTGGTGATGTGTTGTGATAGCTGGGTTTAAGAAGTGCAATATTAAAACAAAAGCCGTGAGTCTTTTTAGCCCAGTGTGTAAAGACGCACTCTGAGTTATAACTCAGTGGCACAACTGAATAATGGTATCAGCCATAGCTAGTCAAGAAATTGTGGCTTTGAAAGACCAAGACATTATTTTATTTACTTGGACAGAGAAAGTACATTGTCTAGGAGTTAACAGACTTCCTTAATTCTGAGACATACTATTTTCCCACTACATTTTTATGTTTCTGTAATTGAGATGTCTTTAATAATGAATGTATATATTTAATTTGGAGGACCTTTCACTCCCCATCGCCCTCTAAACACCTAGATCTCTGGTATGTCTCTGGTACCTTAGAAACATAGAAATTTGGTCAGTGGTATATTAGAACCCAAGATCTGGTGGTCTTATGTACTGTTTCCTTGAGGTTAGCCAATGAGCCCTTTGGTTAGCAAATTTAAGTTTGTGAGGGCATAATCTGGGTGCATATAAATATGAACGAAAAATGCAGTAGATTCCACCTGCACAGATATTACTTAAAGAATAAGATGTTGAAACTTAAAAACTCTCGGTTTTAAAGCAGTGTCTTATATTTAACCCAAATCTTAAAATTTGAGTTTAGGCAAACCTGAGATGACCGTCTTATTGAGCTGTCAGGCGGTTCGGTCTTGCTGCTGCCTAGCAGTATAGTCTGGGTCTGGAACAAGCCTTGTCAGTAGCAGATGGTCACTGTGGACAGCGTTTCCCAGCTGTGACCCACATACCTAGACTAGCTTGAACTAATTTTGAACCTTAAGGCTAATGTTGAAAGAAACTGGGTAAGTGATTGTTTAAAGAAAAATTAAGGATGTGCCCTATAGTTGTTCATTCATTAAAATGTTCCTTGCCATATAGTGCATTTTCTGATGCAGGTAGAGTGGAAAAAATATATAATATGGTTAAAAGAGCTTAGACTCTGAAGTCAGACAGATTTCTGCCTCTCTGAATTTCTAATTTAGCTTTTAAATATCTTGCTGGGTGAACTTGAATGTGTTAATTTCTTTATGCCTTAGTTTTGTCATTTATAAAAATAGGAATAATAGTATGTGCCCACCACATAGAGTGATGGTGAGGGTGAAATGACAGCATAAAATACACGGTGTGTGGCACATAAATACCCATAAATACCCTGTTATCAGTGCATGAGGCATATTTCTGATCTTGTAAGGGGAACATGAAAGCATAAGGGAGAATAGTAACCTTCAGTGAGTTCAGTGACATAGCCAGGAATGAAATATAAACCTCTTGATTTGTAGCCTGGAAGCATACTAACTTGACTGTGCTTCTCTGCTCAGCATTGTGCTGTCTTCTCTCAGGGATTTTAGGAGGAGTGTCGTGTGAAATGTGAACTAGAGCTTAATGAAACCTTGAAAGGGTTATTCTTTAAAATGGTCAAATTGTAGACTTTTAAAACTGGTAAAAGTGCTAGAAAAAATTTATCTAGAGTCCTTTGTCTTTGACAGCTCAGTTTACAACCAGGCTGTGTCAGGGTTTACTAACCCATATTAAAAGAAAAATAAGGTCAGTGTTGTAAGTTTCTTATAAAGGTAAATTCAGCTCAGTATTTCAAAAGTACGTTGGGGCTATGATAGCATGATTCAAATATAAATAGGTATTTATAACCCCTTTCTTTCCTAATCATTTGGTAGTCTTCCTTTGGTATATGTTTCTGAAAAGCAGTCATTACTTTATAAACATGCTTTGTGTTCTTATTTCTTGCTTGACCTAAAATTACTGTCTGTTGAATCTTAAATTTCCAATGGACAGAAGACAACCCCTTTTGCAGGTCACTTTTACGTAATAGAATTAGTAAGAAAACTTTTCATATCAGCACCAAACATTTGACCACTACATTTGGGGATGTTGTCATCTATCCCTCAATATGTTAGTAAGTTATTCTGAGCTCTTTATCTTAAAGAATAATAGGAAGTAAATTTTTTTCACTGTGGCAAGGAATTTTTCTATTCAAGATCCTCTACTTATTTGATTAGAAGAATTTTTGTTTAACCCTGTTGAGACTATTTAAGTAACATTTAATTTAATGTTTATTTAGAAACTGATTATTGATGAGAAGAAATATTACTTATTTGGGAGAAACCCTGATCTGTGTGACTTTACCATTGACCACCAGTCTTGCTCTCGGGTCCACGCTGCCTTGGTCTACCACAAGCATCTGAAGAGAGTTTTTCTAATAGATCTCAATAGCAGTAAGTAACTCACATCCCATTCTGTCTTACATTTCTTTTGGGCAATGTGAAAGTTCTCTTTAAGTTCTTCAGTTTCAAAATTGTGTTTTATTATTCATCAAGGAAGAAGTTTACATTTGATTTTTAAATCAACTCTTCTCGATTCCTGTGATACCGCCTATTTTCCTGAATAATTGATGACTGGAGAGAGAAGAGGGTTTTGGGGAGGACTGTCCTGGAGGAGGCACTAGGTATATATATAGAGAACAACTTCAACAAAAACACTCAGGAGCTAGGGATTATGGGTATCTAAGTGTTTACAGGACCATGATAAATTGTGGTCCAATTTAGGCAGAAGCTGTGGTTAGCTCCATTAATATAATAAAGTAGTGGTGCAAGACAGCAACAACAATACTTGGTTTGAGCAATATTTATTTTTTTTTTAAAGGTTCTTTATCCCAGTTACATTCTGCTTTGACTAACTAATAATATAAATTTTAATTTTGTGAATATATTCAACTAATAAGATTTTTAACTTTGTGCTCACTTTGGCAGCACATATATTAAAATAGGAACGATACAGAGAAGATTATCATGGCCCCTGCGCAAGGATGACATGCAAATTCGTGAAGCGTTCCATATTAAAAAAAAAAAAAAAAAAAAAAAAAAAAGATTTTCAACTTTGCCAAAGATAATCCCAGAAATGTAGTTGAGACTTACCTACATGGAGCCTTGAAGTTTTTCACTTCTTCCCTATATAAATACAGTGTAAAATTAAAGGATCCTGCTTCTGGGCTCCTTCCCCACTTTTCCAACACATACCCAACCCTAGTCTGCAGATATAATGGTTTGGAAAGCCTTGTCTCACAAGTACTTACTTGCAAATTTATCTCATCTTTTCTGTCCATTTTATAACATGTAGAAAAATATTCGGACTCAGCAGTAAGATTTTGGCTTGCCTTGGTATTGATAATGCACCTGTTTCAGCCAACCTCCTTTCCTGTTCTGGGGAAAACCCAAGCATAACTGCCACGAGGGCCTGTATTCCTTAGACTTGGGGCTGGAGAGGTCAGACCACAGTGAGGCCTGTCTCCTGCCTTGGGTGGCATGGTTATTGCTGGGTTGGAGCCATTCCTGCTGGACCCAGAATGGAGCCAAGCCTGTCTGGCAGCAGAGAGCAAGCAGTGGTATTTGTTATCTGGGTTAACAGCAGGTCTGAAGATGAGTAAGAATTCCACTGAAGAGATTCAAGACCCAGTGAAGGAGTTTTCCTTTTCATTGTGACCCATGACAAGGGATGCAAAGTGGACTCAGTGTCATTTTTATTTTAAAAAGCAGAACTGATAATGCTGGGAGGAGCTGCTCTCCTACAACTCAGGTTGGTTTTTTTCTCTTACATTTTTGATTTGGTTATTCCCAGCACACGGCACTTTCTTGGGTCACATTCGGTTGGAACCTCACAAGCCTCAGCAAATTCCCATCGATTCCACAGTCTCATTTGGCGCATCCACAAGGGCATACACTCTACGTGAGAAGCCTCAGACATTGCCATCGGCTGTGAAAGGAGATGAGAAGATGGGTGGAGAGGATGATGAACTCAAGGGCTTACTGGGGCTTCCAGAGGAGGAAACCGAACTTGATGTAATTCCACGTCTCTGTCATTATTTTGTCTTTTGGGACTCTAGTTTTTCCATTATGTAGCTGTCTGTGTAGCTTGAAATGCCAAAGACTTAGCAGGAGGTTTTCTTGAGCCCAGTGATGGGCCTTTGCCACTTTGTCAGTTATGAGGTGGTCAACTGTGACACACTGTGGAGAGCTACATTGTGCGATTTGGTTATGTATGACCAGGGGTAACAAGGAAACTGGTCTCTTGCCAATACACCCTCATGGTTGTCTTATGCACCTTCACTGGATGTTAGAAGCCAAGGCTGGGAGTTAAAAGTTTTCTAGAGCTGCACTATCAAATGCGGTGGCTATTAACCACATTTCAAATACTCAGCAGTCGCATGTGGCTAGTGACTTCCATGTTGAATGGCACAAAAAGAGAACATTGTCATGATTCAGAAAGTTTGATTGGACAGCACTGACTTAGGCTGAAGCTTTCATTCATTTACATTGCTTTCTTGATGTTGTCCAAATAGCCCAGGGATCCTCTGAATAGAGCTATACTGGTTTTGTTCTTATGGGCCTGGCTGCCCTGAAGACTATGAATTTTACGATATTTTATTTAAGTGCTAAAATTTTCCTTTTCTGAAGGCTGGCCCCAATATGTGATGTGGCTGTCAGCCTTTACATGTCAGTCACTGCACTGGTGTGACTGGTCTATTTGGGTAGACCATATGTAAGCATGTCCTTAGCCACCCACGTGCACTTCCTATTCTAGTTACACTAAGGCAGTGTCCCAGCCAGCACCAGGGAAATCTTAAAATGTAGAAGTTATTTTGTTCTAAAAAGGTAGCCTCATAGCCAGAGGCCTTGATGGTGGTCACTCTTACCCATTTCTCCTCCAGACTTCTTCCTTGCTTTCCTTTATTTTAAATTTGTATGTGAGGTCCTCTCTGGGTCTTTATTCTCAAGATATTTTGAATATCTTAAACTGCATTGCAGATTGGAATAAGTCCAGAGGATTGGGAAGAGGCAGGCAGCAGTGCTGAGGCCAAGTTAATCATTGAGATGGATGGATGGTTATGAATAGAAATGGGACCGTACCCAGGAATGGGGAGTGACAAAATATTAATGCCAAGTGTGAAGTGCACTGACAATGTCCTTGTGAGTTCTCAAAGAGAGTTGCTGGGAAGAAAGCTGCCAATCATCCTTTCTCATCACTTTTATTACTTTAAAAGAATTATTGGAGTTCCTTCCAGATACATTCTTTTAATTCTTGGCATAAAGACATGATAACCTTTCTTAAAAACAAGCAAATCTCATCTGGCCAGTGTTGCTCAGTAGTTGAGCATCAACCTATGATCCAGGAGATCACATCCATTCCTGGTCAGGGCACATGCCTAGGTTGCAGGCTTGATCCCTAGTGTGGAGCATGCTGGAGGCAGCCAAGCGATGATTCTCTCTCATCATGTTCTCTCTCTCTCTCCCTTTCCCTTCCTCTTTGAAGTCAATAAAAAAAAACACAACAAAACCTCAACTCAAAGATATTTGTACAGATGACCTGTTCTCAGCTCAAGGCACTCACCTCCTTTTGCATATCACTGCCCCACTAGTCAAAGGGGGCACATTCTGTCAAAGGTGATTTATAAATATTAGCAATCTGGGGATAGTAATGAGTTCTTTCTGAATACAGAGGAGAATCTTGTCTGCCTGGGGAAGTCAAGGTTAGCCCCTAATGCCTTTCTGCCCTTCATTTAGTAAGATATTCTGCTTCAAATGTTGTGTGTACTGACTTGTCTTTTCCTGTGTGAACCCTGGCCTAGAACCTGACAGAGTTCAACACTGCCCACAACAAGCGGATTTCCACCCTCACCATTGAGGAGGGGAATCTGGATATTCAGAGACCAAAGAGGAAGAGGAAGAATTCACGGGTGACTTTCAGTGAGGATGATGAGATCATCAACCCAGGTGAGGTGTCTTTCCAGTTTCTTCTGATGAAAAAGCTGTGGTCACAGAGAGTAGTGTACACAACCTATAGGTCAGATGTAATGTTTCCAAGGTTTAGGATAACAGGTGCTATGTTAAGGAGAGATAGTTTTTACAGTTCATTGGTGGAGTGCTCTCAACAACTCAGGGGTTATCCATTTGCTCTGTGGAAGAAATAGCTAACAAGAGGGTCCATTTAATTCAGTATACAGAGCAAGGCTGTAATTCTCTGCTGATCCAGAATGTCTGTGTCATAGTTGAGGTTTAAGTTAAGCATAAATGTTTTCTGTCTTGACCTCAAAGCAGAATGTTATTGTCTTTATGGGGTTCTGTGTATGAGTAGTAACTCATACATTGGAGAACCTTCTGCTGCTACTAATTACTAACTGCATTGAAGACTTGCCTCTCTAGAAGGAAGTAATTTAGAGTTTGTATGAAATGTCAGTAAGATAAGAGCATTGTATTATGGGAAGGCCACGAACTACCAATTTGTTCCACCATTCAATATTTATTTATTGAGCCGAAACCGGTTTGGCTCAGTGGATAGAGCGTCTGCCTGCGTACTGAAAGGTCCTGGGTTCGATTCTGGTCAAGGGCATGTACCTTGGTTGCAGGCACATCCCCAGTAGGGGTTGTGCAAGAGGCAGCTAATCGATGTTTCTCTCACATCGATGTTTCTATCTCTATCTCTCTCCCTTCCTCTCTGTAAAAAAAAAAAAAAAAAAAATCAATAAAATATATTTTTAAAAAACAACAACATTCATTTATTGGGCCTATGTTCAAAATTTATTTATTGGACCTATGTTGTACCTTAAGTACTCTGGTAGATGGATGATGTAGAGCTGTGAGGTACAGTTACACAGTGAAAATGGAATTGGGATTAAAACGAACACTTGGCCGAAACCGGTTTGGCTCAGTGGTAGAGCGTCGATCTGTGGACTGTAAGGTCCCAGGTTCGATTCTGGTCAAGGGCATGTACATTAGTTGCGGGCACATCCCTGGTAGGGGGTGTGCAAGAGGCAGCTGGTCGATGTTTCTCTCTCATCGATGTTTCTAACTCTCTATCTCTCTCTTCCTCTCTGTAAAATATCAATAAAATATATTTTTTTTTTTAAAAAGAAAGAGAACTTGCTTGAAAATAAATCTCAATGGATAGAAGAAACAAGGATCTCAGACTAACAAGTTGCTTTTAATTTCCAAAGTAAAATGCAATGAGAATCACTTTCAAGTCCTGCTTTTAGGTTCAAAATATCAATTATTTAAATGGAGATGGTCTGCTCCAGCATGGGAGGAAAAAAAAAATATCAAGGGATTTTAGTTAATTGAAAATGCAGTTTTATGTGGACTCAAGGGTCCCGGGTTCGATTAAGGTCAAGGGCACATACCTTGGCTGCAGGCTTCTCTCCGGCCCGGGCCCTGGTTGGAGCTCATGCAGGAGACAACCAATTGATGTGCTTCCCTCACATCAATATTTCCGTTTCCCTCTCTCTTCCACTTTCTCTAAAAACCAATGGAAAAATATCCTTGGGTAAGGATGAGAGAGAGAGAGAGAGAGGGAGGAGAGAGAGGAGAGAGAGAGAGAGAGAGGTCATTAGAAGTATGTGAAAACTAATCAGGTGCAGTGTAAGATTGGATTAATAGAAGAATTGGGGACAGTGACTCCATTGGTCTGTGTTCTGAGCCTAACTCGTCCATATGTTACTAAATACAAGCATGGCCCTAACCATCAAATAAATATGTGAGGGAGGAGGAGACTCTTATATACGGAAAACTGCCCTCAATTCTGGGAATGTAGGGAACCATGCACAAGGGAGACAGAGGAGGCATGCCCCCTGTGGTCGGATATTTGCAGGACTAACCTTAAAAAAGGAACAGTGGGCAAAACCAGAGCTAGTGAGTAGCAAGTATTTGGCTCAGCATAAAAAGCAACAATGAGCCCTAACCAGTTTGGCTCAGTGGATACAGTGTCAGCCTGCAGACTGAAAGATCCCAGTTTCGATTCCATTCAAGGGCATGTTACCTTGGTTGCGGGCACATCCCCAATAGAAGGTGTGCAGGAGGCAGCTGATCGATGTTTTTCTCTCATCAGTGTTTCTAACTCTCTATCCCTCTTCCTTTCTCTCTGTAAAAAATCAATAAAATATATATTTTAAAGCAACAATGAATCCTTATATTTAGAAGAATTAAAAGGATTTCTCTGGCCGAAACCGGTTTGGCTCAGTGGTAGAGCGTCGGTCTGCAGACTGAAAGGTCCCAGGTTTGATTCCAGTCAAGGGCATGTACATCGGTTGCGGGCACATCCCCCGATAGGGGGTGTGCAAGAGGCAGCTGGTCGATGTTTCTCTCTCATCGATGTTTCTAGCTCTCTAGCTCTCTCCCTTCCTCTCTGTAAGAAATCAATAAAATATATTTTTTTTAAAAAGGATTTCTCTGAAAGAGATTGAGGCATTAATTCTAGTGACAAGTTTACTTTCTGATGGTGTGTGAAGTAGAAAGGATTACTCCTAAAAGTATTGAATGCCCGAGGGAAATGTTTAGTCACGAGCTTTATGATCAATCTAGGAAACTTATTTCTGGGCCCTGGAATCTATTGAGTAAGTTTCCAGAGGTTGGGCCTAAAAATTTGCAGCTTCAAACAAGCTATTATTGTATTGATGAACAGTCAGTAACAGGAATTACTGGACTAAACATTAAGCCTTTCTCAGGACTCAGTGTCTGATCTGCTTTGTTTTTCTTCTGGAAAATAATTGCCCCAGAGCTTTATTAAGGTGCTGTATTCAGGCAGAATATAGCATAAAGGTTAAGAGTATGGGCTCTGAAATCAGAGGGCCTGGGTTTGAAATCCACCTCTCCTCTTAGTAATTATATGACCTTGGCCAAGTGACTTAAAAAACTACTGGCCTCAATGCAAACATGTCCCGTACTTGGTCTTATCTCTTTCTTCCTGTAGAGTGAATGAAGCTAGAAATTTGTAAGGTATAATAAGCTGTGAGGAGGGAGCTGCTCTTCCGCTCTGCCTGGATGAGGGCTTCAGATCCTTTAGTAAAAATCCGTGTGTGAGTGTGTGTATAAAATTACTCCTCCTCACTGGGGATATTTTTCCCATTGATTTCTAGAGAGAGTAGAGGGAGGGAGGGAAGGAGAAAGAGAGAGAGAAACATGGATGTGATTCAGACACATTGATAGCCTCCCGCATGCACCATGACCAGGCCTGGGATGGAACCTGCAACCCAAATCTGTGCCCTTGATGGGGAATCAAACCCATGACCCTTCAGTAGGCAGACCGATACTCTAACTACTGAGCATACTGGCCATGGCAGTAAAAGTCTTGATTTTATACAGTTCAGGTCAAAAGGCCAAGTAAAGTTGGAAGCCCTGGATCTGAATCCTAATTCTGTTATTTGCTAATGAGTGGGCATTACCAAGATAGGTGGTGTGTGACCTCTGGACATGTCATTATTTTATCACTATCATGGGATCACTGCTATGCACTCTACTTTCTCCCTCAAAAGAGGGAAGTATATGGAATGAGAAAGCACTCGGGGAAGGCAGCACAGCATAGTGGTCCAGTCCTGTTCTGGCTACTTGGACTAAATCCTATCTCCTCCACTCTTCCATAAGGGACTAGGCCTCTTTACTCCTCTTAGCCTGAGGTGTCTTCTTGGCTATTAAATGTTTACTGTAGCCCTAGGTGGTTTGATTCAGTGGATAGAGCGTCGGCCTGGGGACTGAATGGTTCCCGGTTCGATTCCAGTCAAGGGCAGATGTCCAGGTTGTGGTCTCAGATCCCCAGCATCGAGTATGTAGGATGCAGCCAATCAATTATTCTCTATCATCATTGATGTTTCTATCTCTCCCCCTCTCCCTTCCTCTCTGAAATAAAAACAAAAATATTAAAAAATGTTTTTTAAAAAAGTTGATTGTAGTTGTGCTCACCTCATAGGCTTATTGTGAGGATTTAAAACAGTGCCCGCACATAGAAACACTTGACGTGTTAGCTGTATTTTATTGTTTTAATATGTGTTATGATTGCTTTGTTTATAGTGAGCCCTGTTCCATTAACCCTCCCCGTGGAATGCCCCACTAATCCTTCCCTCATGTCTTTCTGTAGAGGACGTGGATCCCTCAGTTGGACGTTTCCGGAACATGGTACAGACTGCAGTGGTCCCAGTAAAGGTAGGAAGCACATTTGAAATGCCATTTCATATAGTCTGGTTTAAAAATCCACTCCTTTACAAATAGGTTAGGTGTACTTAATTTTCTTTTTTTAATATATTTTATTGATTTTTTTACAGAGAGGAAGGGAGAGAGAGAGCTAGAAACGTCGATGAGAGAGAAACATCGACCAGCTGCCTCTTGCACACCCCCTACTGGGTATGTGCCCGCAACCAAGGTACATGCCCTTGACCGGAATCGAACCCAGGACCCTTCAGTCCGCAGACCAACGCTCTATCACTGAGCCAAACTGGTTTCGGCGGGTATACTTAATTTTAAAACACATTCTTTGTTCCTCTCCCATTTTTTTTACCCTGTGGTCATACTTTTATTCCATCTATGTCTCGAGGATTCTGGAGCCCATAGTAGGGCTGCAGGGGACCAGCCAGCTTGATGCTGTGTGTAAATTATGGTGCAATATAAATTTACCTCCTGCAAGCTGCAGAGAGGCCCACCTTTCCTTAGCCTTTCCCTTTCACTCAGAGTAGCTATTAGGCAGGAAGGAGGCATTGTTGTATTTCTGCATGGCACTGCTGCCTTTTGCTGTGCCTGGGAGTGGCACAGATAGGAAAGCCAGCCCAAACCTGATGAGGTTTATAAAGACCAGGTATGTTGGAGAACTAAGAGATGGAAGTTACAGAGATGTTCTGATTGCTAAACATGTGGAGGAACTACCTGACTAGCTAGGAATAAATAGTCCTTTAAGTACTGGGATCCCTGTAAATAGAGGTATTAAAAAAGTAATTGGGCCGAAACCGATTTGGCTCAGCAGTAGAGCGTCGGTCTGCGGACTGAAAGGTCCCAGGTTCGATTCCGGTGAGGGGCATGTATGTCGGTTGCAGGCACATCCCTGGTAGGGGGTGTGCAAGAGGCAGCTGGTCGATGTTTTCTCTCTCATCGACATTTCTAGCTCTCTATCTCTCTCCCTTCCTCTCTGTGAAAAATCAATAAAAATATATTTAAAAAAAAAAAGTAATTGGGCCCTAGCTGGTTTGGCTTAGTGGATAGAGGGTCGGCCTGCGGACTGAAGGGTCCCAGGTTCAATTCCAGTCGAGGGCACATGCCCAGATTGCAGGCTTGATCCCAAGTAGGGGGGATGCAGGAGACAGCTGGTCAATGATTCTCTCTCATCATTGATGATTTTCTCTCTCTCTTCCTCTCCCTTCCTCTCTAAAATCAATAAAAATATATTTTTAAAAGTAATTGGAAAATGCTGTTCAGAGATGCTATAGAGATTTTGTTTGTTTTCAGTGCACAAAAATCTATTATATTTTTATGTCCTTGCAATGAACAGAGTTTTATTTTTTTAAAGTCTTTAGAATATATAAGACTAGAGTGTATGTCAAATTCCAGGTTAGTCTTTGTTTAATTCAAAAGGAGTAGAGAAGTGAGAGGAATCTTTCATGAACTTTCTTTAGTCTCTTGTGAAAAAGTACAGGGTGGAATTTTTCTGTGCAACTCCATAGTGCTCATGTCACATTTCTCCTTGAGCTCTTTTCTCTCTTTTTGGAATGTTCTGTTGTCATTAAAGTACAAAACCAGAAGATATTTTTACTTTTAAATCAGATTTATTATGATATAATTTACATACAGTAAAATGCACACATGGTAAGTGTACAGTTTGAGTTTTGACAAATGTATACCACTGGGTCATCACCATTATAACCAGCATACAGAAGGTTTCCATCACCCGGAAAAGTCCTCTGTGTCCCTCTGCTGTCAGTTCCCTTCCACTCCCAGCCCCAGGCAACCAGTAAACTTCTCTCATTCACTACACATTTGTTTTGCTCTGAGATTACTGTTTAGAAAATTGGTGCCCAACATGAAGATAAATACTAATTTCTGATCCCCCACCCCCTCCAAATTTAAATACCTACTACCACCCATTATCACCTATTTTCTAAAAGGACATTTCAACACCAAAAAAGAGGAGGAGAGATATGACAAGCTAAGGATAGTCACTTAAACTGGATGAGGTTTACTTTATAAAACATACACTATCCTCATTTTTCTCATTGTGGCTTAGGTTGGTAAGTACTTTATGTGGACCCATCGCATTAGAGGACCATTATAAAATCTCTTTAGTCACTGAGATTTCAGGACTGGGAAATAGGTTGTCTGGGAAACAAACTAAGCCGGAGGTCCAGGCGCCTCCCAGTATGTTAGGGCTAGAAGAGAAAAGACTGATCAGCACCACCCTGTGCCTCACCCCTTGTCTGCTCTGTTCCCTGTAAACCACAGAAGAAGCGGATGGAAGGCCCTGGCTCCCTGGGCCTGGAGGAATTGGGAAGCAGGCGGATGCAGAACTTTGCCTTCAGTGGGGGACTCTACGGGGGCCTGCCACCCACACACAACGAGGCCGGCTCCCAGCCCCATGGCATCCATGGGACAGCACTCATTGGCGGTTTGCCCATGCCCTACCCGAACCTCGCCCCCGATGTGGACTTGACTCCTGTTGTGCCATCAGCAGTGAACATGAATCCTACACCAAACCCTACAGTCTACATCCCCGAAGCTGTAAACGAACCCAAGAAGAAGAAATACGCAAAAGAAGCGTGGCCGGGCAAGAAGCCGACGCCCTCCTTACTAATCTGATATTTTTGTCGTGGAAAGGGGTGGGTGGGCGGGGATTGGGTGGAAGGGTGATGCGGGAGCTGATGAACTTGGGAGAAATTTTTCCATGTGTGCAGTATCGTCTTTCAGAACGTCTCCTGGGTCCCAAACATCTAATACCAAAACGGGGTGGGGTTGGAATATCCCGACAAGACTGCTTCAGGACACTTCCAGTGTAGAACTATGCGTCATTTTAAGTTGGTGCCCTGGAGCCTCCCAGGTCTCCGTGGCCTCCTTTTTCTTTCTTCCTCCTCTCCAGGGTTATTTTTCTTTTAAGTCATGTACTCTATGGAGAGACTCAAGGCCCAAAGAGTCGGATTTAGAACTGGAGAGGTGACCGTGGCATCACCAGCCTTAGGGTCCAACAGCCTAATTTATATTTACTCTCCCTGTGGGTTCCACACAGCAGAGGGCTGCCATGGACCTGAGCCTGATAAAAAGGGTTAAAATCCTTCAGTGAAGCTAAAGTTCAAAAATGTTTTTGCTGGGCCAGTGGTTTTGAGGTCCAGTAGTTTGGCTTTTCTCTTTTGTCCTTTCAGCTGGAATGAGAATATTTTGATTGATCGTGGTCTGTGACCAGTGAACGCCATAGACACAGGTTGATAGTTTTAAACTTATTACTTTGTTTGAAATTTACCTGTTTTTCTTTTCAAACCTGAGTACTCTGTACTCGCTGAAGTTTCTCATTTGATTCCAGAGTACTGTACTCTCCAAGGCTTTCCTTTTCAGGTGTGTTATGAAGGCAATTTTTAAAGCATTTGACCAGTTAGAACAACCCCAATTAGGAAAAGATTCTACTTTCAATAACCGGTGCCTCAGAGAAGACATTTTAGATGTTGGTTTGGAGGCGCTTCCCCCCTTTGGGAGCTCTTGTTACCCGAGCTCTACGATGAGGCTGGGCTAATGGCCATAGGAGACGAAGGTAGGAAACATCGATAAGAGCTTTGTATAGAGATTTGTACATTTGTGTAATAGGCCTTTTCACGCTTTATGTGTAGCTTTTTACCTGTAACCTTTATTACATTGTAAATTAAACGTAACTTTTGGCATTCCGGCGCAGTTGTGATTCCGTCACCATCACCGATTCCCACTGACGTTAGGAAATGCTGCCAAAGGTATGCTGTTGGGTTTGGGAGGTGGTGCCCTGTCCCCATTTTATTTCCGCAAATGAGAACACCCCCTAATGAAGGCAGAAACTCTGACTATAGATTCTGGCCCCCAGAGTGGAGCCTCACGGAGCCATGTGGGTTGAGAGATGCCAGCCATCAGGAGGCAGAACCACAGAGGTGACAGGAGACTGGGCTTGGGGCCATGACCTGGAGTGGGCATGGTTTAAACTGGTCATCTGCCCTCTGGCTACAGTGGCAGCTCGGGCACTGAAGTTGAGTAGGCTCAGAAGGGGTTTCAGCCAGAGCTGGAGTGGAATGGATGTCTTCGTACAGGAGCCACTGTCAGGAAGTGTGCGTGGTGGGTGGTGAGAATCATGCAGGCGGCTTTGTGATGCGGATGCACCTTGGGTCCGCAGCAGCCTGTTAAAATGCCCACAACCGAAGCCGGTTTGGCTCAGTGGATAGAGCGTCAGTCTGCGGACTGGAAGGTCCCAGGTTCGATTCCAGTCAAGGGCATGTACATTGGTTGCGGGCACATCCCCAGTGGAGGGTGTGCAGGAGGCAGCTGGTCCATGTTTCTCATCGACGTTTCTAACTCGCTCTCTCTCCCTTCCTCTCGGTAAAAAATCAATAAAATATATTTTAAAAAAACACAAAAAAAACAGGCCCACAGAAGCGCCAGTGTCCAGGAAGCTGACATCATCAGCCTCTAAAAACGAGTGTCTTCATCTCAGGAGAGCATTTTCCCCCTGCTGGTAGCAAAGATGACGTTAGATACACACACAGCACCTGCCTAGCCTGCCAGCCGTTTACAGCCTGTCACTGAACTCACATGGCCCTAAGAGGAATACCGCTTTTGTCCCCATTCTGTAGATGAGAAAACTGGCTCAGAGGCAAAAAAAAAACTTCCCCAGCATCCCACTAAGTGAAGTCAGGATTGGAACTAGCCTGAATCCAGAGCACAGGTTTCCGCAGCCTGCGGGACGAGCTGGGGAAGGATGTGTGTGGCACGCGGTGGAACACTGCTCAGCGGTTTGGGCCGTATTCATTTGCAGTTAGGAGTTTGTTTGCAAATGGTAAGTTCCTGGGTGGTACCTTAAAGGATTTAGACTTAGTTTACGTAGTAAAAATGAGTCATTGGTGAGAGATCGTGCCCTGTACTATTTGGTTCCAGCATTTTGAGTTGCAGAGTGAAACTTGCATTTGTGTCTCAAGGCTCAACAGACTATCCCAGCCTGCAAAGCTGTTCATCTTTCCCTTCAAGGGCCCAGTGTACTTCAGTGGAAGCAGGAGTGCTTGAATTTGGTGGTCATGTGATGTAAGGAGGCTTGTAGGAGTAGAAGCCTGGCTTTCCGGGCACTATTTTTCTGATTTCTTCCGATCATGTTTTCGTGCCCCTCAGAGATGAGCACTGCAGGAGGGCTCAGCTTCCTCTCTCGCTTCCTGCAGCTCTGGACACGGACCCTGAGTAGGTGGCCCCTCCTGTTCACCACGAGGATTGACAAATGATCCGGTGAGCATCTTGCTGTGGAAGGACATGGCCTCGCCTCATCCCAGGACACAGTCCACCCTGGGTGAGACGTGACCACGGGTTTCCCTCAAGTCCTATGTGCGATGGGCCGTGTGTGAAGGAGGGAGAGGACAGCCCATGTTCTCCTGCCCAGGGTGGTACAAGGGGGCGAATCCCCTGGAGAAGGACACATTGACAAACCAGCCCGTTTTCCAGGAGATCTTGGCCAGGATCTGCTGTTTAGTGACGGTTGCCTAACATACGCTAACCATTATCTGTAAACCAGAAACGGAGAGATAGAGAAAATCCTGTCTGTCTGGATCCTGCATTGTGCATGTGCGTACACCGTGGCAGTGGGAAGTCGCCTCTCAGCTAATCCGGGCTGGACGTGTGGGAGCGGGTAATGGGAGCGCACACGCCTGCCTGGGAGGCCTGTGTGAGGGCAGTGCACTGCCCATGCTGTGCCACTGCCGATGCTGTGCTGGAGCTTAATGGAGGGGCGGTCAAGGAGGAGGGGGGAGTCGGGCAGAGGCCGGATCCCATCCTGTAAGCTTTGCTAGGGAATTTGAAAGTACCAGGAAGCCCTTCTCTTAAAAAAAATTAAAAAAAAATAAAATACTGTTTTATTGGTTTCAGAGAGGAAGGGAGAGGGAGAAATAGGAACATCAGTGATGAGAGGGGTCGGCTGCCTCCCGCACGCCCCACACTTGCTTGATCAAGCCCACAACCCGGGCAAGTGCCCTGGCAGAATCGAACTCGTGACCTCCAGGCTTATAGATCAATGCTCAACCACTAAGCCATGCCTGCCAGGCAGATTTCTTTATCTTTACTAAAAATAAAAAATAAAAAAAAGATATGCTTATGTAAAAATATTGGATAATCCAGAGACATATGTCACACACACACACACACACACACACACACACACACTCATCCCTCGCCCACGGTGGGGGAGACTTCTGGTAGGGGCTATGAGTGGTCAGATTCCGTTATAACATGCCTCCAGCAGCTGATAAATAAGACAATACCTGACCTCAGGTGAGCGAGGTGTTCTAGCAAATCTAGAGGTAAGTACAGATGTTGAGGGAATATGGAAGAGAACGTTCCAGTAGTTCAGTCTGCAGGAGGTAAGGGTGGTGGAGGGGAGAGGGTCCTAGGAAGCGTCAGAGGCGTGACTTGTGTTTCCAAGTGGAGGAGGGGAGGGCATTCCGAGCCGGAGCAGCCGCAGGACCGAGGGGGCGGGTGGATTGACATCTCAGTTAGTGTACGATGGGTGGTGGGAAGGTTCTGGAGTGCTCACCTACTGGTTTTGGTGACATCTGTTTGCTGGAGAATAAAATGATTGCCCGTTTGCGGGGGAGAATTCGATTGGGAAGTTCCACCTCTGAACAGGGACGAGGTGCAGTTCCAGCGTCAGCCAGCAGGAGGGGCCCTGCTCCCATCTATGGAGTCGCTATGGTAACGGTGTGACCCTGGGGTGGCGGTGAGGTGAGAGATGAGCACTGAAGAGAATGTCACTCCCGGACCGGACCAGCACCCGCGAGCATGTTATGTGCTTTATCCCCTGCTTCTCCCCACGGCCCTGAGAGGGTGTAGGTGGTACCCCATTTCACAGCTGGGCACCTTGAGGCTCAGAGACGGTCCCGGGGCCAAGGCCACAGGGCTGGCAAGTAAAGCAGGGATTCCAGCAGGAACAGCACAGGGAGCTCCTGACCCGGCTGCTGCCTTCCTTGTGTCCCGGGTCTGTGAAGAGACTGGATTTTGTTTTTCTGATTTCCCCCTCTGTTTCCTGCTCCTTCTGTCTCTATCTCTGGTTAAAAACAAAAAAAACAACCAAATCATCTCCCGCCAAAACCGGTTTGGCTCAGTGGATAGAACGTCGGTCTGCAGACTGAAAGGTTCCAGGTTCGATTCTGTGCAGGCGGCAGCTGGTCAATGTCTCTCTCATTGATGTTTCTAGCTCTCTATCCCTCTCCCTTCCTCTCTGTGGAAAATCAATTTTATATATATATATATATATATATATATATATATATATATATATATATATATAATTGATTAAATATATATATATTTAAATCACCTCCTGACTCCACTTCCCCACCAGTGACCTCTGCTTCCCCTCCTTCTCTGCTGCACCTCCTGTCTCAGTGCCTCTCCTCCTCCCACTCTTCATCCACCCCAGCCACCACTCCATGCAAACTGTGCCCAGCCCAGGGTGGGGCGTGCAGGAGGCAGCAGATCAATGATCCTCTCACCATTCACGTTTTTTTTTTTTTTTAATATATTTTATTGATTTTGTAGAGAGGAAGGGAGAGAGATAGAGAGTTAGAAACATCGATGAGAGAGAGTCATCTATCAGCTGCCTCCTGCACACCCCCTACTGGGGATATGCCCGCAACCAAGGTGCATGCCCTTGACCGGAATCGAACCCGGGACCCCTCAGTCCCCAAGCCGACGCTCTATCCATTGAGCCAAACCGGTCCCGGCACCATTCACGTTTTTATCTCTCCCTTCCTCTCTGAAATCAATCACAATATTTAAAACAAACTGCCTTCTAATGACCCCAGCCAGTCCCATTCAGTGCTCTGATCAGAATACGCCAGAGGCCCTGCATTTTCTCCAGAGTAAGAGCAGTTTTACTTCCTACCCGCACCCCTACCTCTCTCCCCTCCTACCTCTCCCCTCTCTCCTCCTGCAGCGCCCCCGCCAGGTCCGGTTGGCCCTCCAACCCTCAAGGCACACCCCACCCTGTGCCTGTGGCCGGGCTTCTCCCGCAGATGTCAGCATGGCTGCTTCCCTCCCAGCCTCCAACAGAGAGAAACGCAGGCCCTGGCAGGGGCCGGGGAGAGGGAAGAGACACACCCTGGGTCCCTGGCCTGGCTGCTGTGTTCAGAGGTGCTGTTCCCTGCAGAGGGGAAGAGGGAGGAGAGCTTCCTGGGAGGGGCCGGGTTTGAGGCACTTCATGCTGTGAACAGCGGGGCAGGTGCCAAGTGGACAGCTGTGTGCAGGACACCTGGGGCTCAGGGTTGGGCCTGAGACCGGGCTTGGAAGGTGGTACTGAAGCCTGGCCGAGAGGGGGCGTCTGAAGACTTCTACCTGAGAGGTCACAGACCAGAGTCTAGCCTTCTCTCCCCCCACACACACACCTACACCTCCCCCCCAGTGGCTCAAATCACTTGCAGGAACAGAGGTCTCCTTTCTCTGTAATTCACCGCTGGGCTTCTTCAGAGAGCAGAGGGGAGGCTGTGCGGACACCCAGCCGCCAGCAGCAGGACCCGTTCTGGAAGCAGAGCCCTGGCTGGAGGTAGAGGCGGAGGTGGCAGCCTGGCCCCGGGTCTGGGCCCATTATTCTGGGAAAGTTCAGAGCTGGGCTGACGGAGCAGTTACCATAGGAAGTCCAGGCTCTGTGTTACCATCAGCGGGACAC